CTGAGGACCAGTGGGGAAGGGAAAGAGCCCCCACTGGAGTGCATTGCCACAGAGGCTGATTTCAAACCTCAGTGAAAGGATCATGAACCATTAGCTGCTGACAGACTCTGTCATACAAGACATGAAACAGGATCAATTGAAGCCCATTTGCCTCAGTTACCCCTAGGAAAAACTGATACTGCCACTTTCTGGGGTTCCTGTAATTAAACTATAATTAGTTAGAGGGACAGTCTCCACTTGGGCTCTACTCAGTCTGTTTTGTAATAAGTTTCAGGAGGAAAGCCTTAAAGTAATCAATTTCACTTTGTGTAATTCTGTAACAGAACACATGCCAAGGGCATTGGTTTACCACAGAGGCACCCGTACCTCCTACTGAGTCACCGGCTTAATCCTTGTAAAGCTTAGGTCTTTGTGGAAGGTTTATTTAAGTTAGTAAGCTGGGATGGTCAGTGCTTGTGAAAGGAAAAACGAGTGTAGTTTACAGGACCATGACAGAACCGGATGCAGGCTGCCTTATCTACACGTTCACAAACAGGGCTCATTATTGTGTCCTGTTTGTATTAACACGATCAGACAATAGTTCCTTGTGAGAACTGCAGCACCACATTACAACTGCTTTCTGTTGGACTGTGTGAATTGGTAATTGGAGACAGAATGCTGCTGTGACATTCCAATCCTACCTGTGGCACTCACCAGTCCCCTTCATCCTTTAACTGTATTCAAAAGATATTCAGAGATCACATGTTGGAACAGTTGGCAGATAAAGTACATAAAATTCTGCTATTATGGAAAGAAATAGGTGCAAGATCGATTGAGATCAAAATCAAACATCTTTAACTGTAGGAACTTAATCACTAAAAGCCATCCAGAACTGAAACAATGTATTTAATTTTTCTTTAGTGTTTATCAGAATTTGGCATACACAGTTGATGCTTAGTAAGATCAAGTTTAGGGACTTAAATGAGATTTGGTTAGATTACCTGTAGCTGATACAGAGTACTTGGGACCATTTTTTCAAGATTGTTCACCTTGTCCAAGAGTCCCCTTTGTGCTACAGTGACCATAAATTGCTATTTCTCTTGGCATTTTAGGGGCAACTTGGAGGATGTGTTAAAAACATCTTCACAGTAAAGTGTTTATTAGGTAGGGTTAACATCATGAATTAGACTTAAATTTATAACCTGTACCCTGCAAAAGCAATTTGTTGAGTTGGTAGTAAAAGCAAATGCACAAAATATTTAATTACAAAGACTGCCAAATTAAAAAAAAATGTGCATGCTAAGGAATGATTGTGCACACTAACCCACAGTGCAGTCCCTAAAATCTATCCTTACAGGTTTAAGGTAAAGCTACACTGAGTCTTGAATCATGGCAGTGAGCCCTAACATTTATTAGGATTTATTTGTTTAGTGAGAGGAAATCCTTTCAGAATGAGAATAGAATAAAGTTTCCTGTTTGATTACAAAGCATTCTCATTTTACTGACAGGTGATACATAGGTGAAAAATTTAAAAGTCTGCTTGCCAAGTGGATCAACCCTGTGTTCTGCAGCACGTGCCCGGATATTGCTCTTGTTGACAAGCTAAGACTTAATCCTTCATAGTGAAATTATTATTGAGGCAGTAAATGACCCCCGTATGGGACTGAAGCAGAAAGTGTTGTCAGGATGATAGGATGCATGCATTTCACGAGAGATGGGCTGGCATAGAAGGTTATAAGCAGTACCTTTTTCTCTTGTTTACCCAATGCATTGGCCACTGTCAGATTCAGAAGCAACAAACTGAACATGACTAGCTTGAATCCAGTAAGGAAACAGGAACCCGCAGGGACCCATCTGGTTCTCATGTCATTGATTGCTTGTTCCTTGGACTTCAGTTCTTACCTGTATAGAGGAAGTGTTGCAGTAAATGATGGGTCTTGTTTGGTACCAGTGGTGTGGTTTTTATCATGTTGTCTTTGGTAACGAGATTTTTGTAGTAATTCTGGGATGTTTAAAATTTGCCTTTTTTATTTCTACTCTCTTTATGATAATAATAAACCAAAAAACTGGAGAAAGTAGTGTTTTAAACCAAAGGCCTGAAAAATGGGTATCTCTTGTGTTTAAAGATAGAATAGCATTAATAAATAAAATGCTCATTGTTTTAATGACATTGCATATATAAATTCCTTCAAAAATAAGTGTATGACATACCATATTAAATATATTTTAGATGCTGATCCAGAACATATATTTTAGACAGAAAAAGAGAGGGACAGAGAGAGAGAATCTGGTGTCCATTGATTCATTCCCCAGATCACCACGTTGGCCAGAGTTGGACGAGGCTGAAGCTAGGAATTTCATCTTTGTCTTCTATCGTCTGCTGCTTTCCCAGGCACACTATCAGGGAGCTAGAACAGAATTGGAGTGTTTGGAACTCAAGCTGTGCTTATATGGGATGTGATGACTTAACCTACTCCAGCAAAACACCAGCCACTATTGAATTTTTTGCAGTCTAAAAAATATGACTGCAAAAAGGATATTTTGGCTTCTTACAAAGAAACTTACTGCAATTTTTGAAAAAATTATGTTTATTAGAAAGGCATGTCATATTTACAAAGAAAAGGAGAAACAGATCTTCCATCTGCTGGTTTATTCCCCAAGTGGCAGCAGCTGTCAGAGCTGAACTGATCTGAAGCCAGGAGCTTCTTCCAGGTCTTCCATGTGGGTACAGGGTCCCAAGGCTTTGGGCCATCCTCCACTGCTTTCCCAGGCCATAAACAGGGAGCTGGATGGAAAGTGGAGCAGCCAAGATATGAATTGGCACCCATATGGGATCCCAGTACTTGCAAGGTAAGGATTTAGCCATTGAGCCATTGTGTCCTGACTGAAAATTACCATTATGTAGGTCCAGAGGTGGAGTAATAAATACAAGGAAGAAATGTGTTATGACTTTGTTTTATAGAAACAAAGTTAAATGAGTGAGGTTAATCTACTTGGTGAAATAATTAAAATTTATGTGGAAGTGATGCAGAAATAGTGGGACTATGGAGAATAATCTTATGTCATCTTAAACAGCAGCTTGTTTTGATCAGTGTTTTCTGTAGCCATTGCTACACATGAGTATAATTTCACAAAGGAGAGTCTGGCATCAGGATATAGTGGTTAAAGCTACCGTGGCTGGCAATGCCAACATCCCATGTGGACTCCAGTTCAAGCCCTGGCTCTTCCACTTCTGATCCAACTTCCCACTGATGTGTCTGGTAAAACAGTGGAAGATGGCCTAAGTACTTGGACCCTTGCCACCCATGTGGGAGACCTGAATGAAACTCCAAGCTCCGGTTTCCTTTCTTTGGCCTGCCACAGGCCTGTCCATGATGATCATTTGGAGAATGAATCAGCAGATGGAAAATTTCTGTCTTTTCCCTTTTTTTGGTAGCTCTGTCTTTAAAAATAGCTTTGCAAAGTATCATTGATTTTATTGGTAAGACTTTTTCTTCTTTTAAACTTAAATGGCTTTGTGGTACTTTACTCCCTTTGCTTTGAGTTGAAAGCGAAGTCTTCTGATCAGTTGCTGAGTATGGTTGGCAAGTGATTGCATTAAAGAAACAGAAACCTGAGATTAAAGTAAATTGCAGGGAAGGAAATTCACATGTAGACGGAGATAGTCATTGACTCTGAGCTTATTGTTGGAAGTTGCAGTAACTCCTCGGAGACTTTCATTGAGGCGTGCCCATGTCATACAATTGGGTTGGGTTTACTAACACCAAAATCTGAAATTTCTTTGACTCAACATCACTACTTTGTATTCAGAACTGAATCGTACCAGCTTCCTTTGCTGAAATGTTAATTCCAAGTGTCATCCAGCAGGAACACCTTGGATAAAGTCATGCTCTTGTAACCCATGTTAGGTCTTCGCATGTTCTTGGAGACAACTGTCCTATTAAAAAGTTTTTCAAAAATTTATTCAGCTCACTTGACAGTCTAGTACGAAAGTAATTACCTTTTTGTGTTCAATCGTTTTTTAAATCTTTAGTTTTCAACTCCTCTCCTGCATCTTTGGAACTCTTGAAAGTGTCAACATTAATCATAATTTGCTTTAAAATTTTTATTTAGTTTAAGAGGAAAGCCTTTATTTGATTTTGTGTAACATTTACGTCACTGAATCCCTTTACAGGAGTGCCGTTGAAAGTTTTGCAGGTTGTTTTCGTTACAGTCTTGGAGCGGCTGAGAAGGTTCATCTGTGTTGCGGCTCAATGGCATAAACTTCAAGCTCATATCAAAGCTGTCAGTGCTGTCATCTTGGCTACATGTACCATGTTTCCTTGATAGTTATGTCGAACAGGTTTTGATCAGTCTGCAGAAGGAGAAAGGTGGCTTAGCTATGCAGAAGCTTTGAAACTAATTCTGACACTCTAACACACTGACACATAAACTCTTTGAAATATCAGCCTATTTAGTCATCCATCAGGATGTTGAAGCATGTCTGTTCTATTAAGGCTTAAGGATCTGATATTACAGGCTATGATGAAAGTTGCTAAAGTACAATGTTGCCTAGATTTGAACTCCAAAAAAGTACTCCTGAGAGCAGTAATGAGAAGATATAATTAAAGTCCGGTCAAATAATTGGAGATCTCGGTATTGCTAGGTCTGAGTTTTACTGCCTCATTTTTTTCTTGCAAGCACATCCTGTCTTCACTCACTTCTGTGCTGGTTTGGCCAGCTGATACGATGTCTGGAATTGTTGTTGAACCTAATGTACATTCTAATTTGTTATATACCCTGAATGTGGTTGACTTTCATCATCCATGGTCTCAGGAGATAGTAACAGGCACACAGAATCATGAAATCATGTGGGCCTTAGCTCACAGAAGTAGTTTTGTGTGATGGATTTGGTGATGGTGGTTTTGACCTACAATCCTCATTTAGGTGCAGATCAAGAACCATGTCCATTTTTTAAGAGCATGTGTCTCTGCTAAGAAAGTAATCTATCATTCTATGTAAGTTCTCCTTCTTATTTGTAGATATAATACTTTGCCAAGCAGAAGAACTCTGAAAAATTCAAGATTAGTGAGTAAGAAAGATGATGTTCATGTCTGTATCATGTGTTTACGTGCCATCATGAATTACCAGGTATGTGTGTGCTTATGGTTCTTTAAAGGAAATATGAATTAGTTTGGCTTAGATTTTTGTTCCCTTTGATTTATTTACATTATTTCTGTCTGAAGTAAATATCAGGCTTTAATGACATTCTGCTGAAAAAGAAAGATCTAGTTCATTATAAACACTAAATTCTACTTCATTGCCAGTATTTTAATTAACATTCCTTTAAATGTGTTTGAAGGAGAGATATTTTTCTCCTACAGCAATAATTTTGCCTGAATTCTTGGTTAACATTTGTGACCATTAAAAGCAGTAAGCTTGTAGTTGTGGCAGCAATAGGCTAAGCAGAGTATGCTGGAATGAGCTGACAGGCATAAAGGGTGGGTCAGGATTCTCAAAGAGTTATATGGTGAACAGGCAAATTGTTGCAGTTGTCTGTCAGACTCAGTGGTCCCTAATCTTTCAAAAAATCGCCTGGAAGACCATTGTTAGATGTGCAGATTGCTTCCTTTGGTGACTGTGATGCAGTTTGATCCTGCTTGGGGAATACACTGGAGCTTTGTAGTGGGTTTATTCTAATAACCAAGTGGACAATAGAGAGTGAACTATCAGGTGAGCCAGCTGTACCAGAAGTATAGTTAGATAAGCAAGCCAGAGATAATAGCAAAATAGAATTCAAATATAAAAATGGAATCTGATTTTGACTTATACTCATACTACTGGTGGCTCCAAACAGAATACACAATAAATACATGGAGGGTTGGTATTAGTCTTGAAACTTGACATAAGTGCTCTGAAGTAAATGTGACAAGGAAAACATGCCTTTGTTTTCCTTCTGATTAGAAAGTAATTTTTGAGCTTTGCCACACATGTTCTTTTCTAAGCACTCAGTAAGCACCTCAGAGAGGTCTGAGATGATAAACGAATGCAGAGCTAAAAATCATAATGTTCTAGAAAATAGAGGCAGTGAAATGAAATTAAATGAAAAACTGTATTTAAAGTGTACATTTTATGAGTCTAGTTTTTAAACCTATCAACGCACATAGCCTTCATAACATTCCTAAGAGATTGGCAAATTTCCTCTCCATTTAACTCTTGGGGAAACTTAGTCTCAGTGAAGTTAAATAATTTGTCACAAACTTTGTAGCTAATAATTGGTGACGTTGAGATTTCAACCCAGATAACCATTACCAAGCACTGTAGAAAAGTTAATCCCAAAACGGAAATACGACATATCAGAAGAATATATTCAGTTTTAAGTAGACTAACCAGAAAAGTGGCAGCAAAAAGATAATATGTGGTAACCACTTGAGAAAGAGAAAAAAGGAAGGGGATATTAAGGAAAGTAGATTGTAGACAAAAGGAAGAGCAATTTCAGATGCCCTGAGTCAGGAATGAGTCTAGCTTGGCCAAGTAGGAAGGAGGCCAGTCGGGCTAGATCACAATAAGTCAGAGAGGAACAGAAGATGAAATCAGACATAATAGCAAATCCTACTTTTACACACACAAAAGGTGACATTGGCTTTATTTTCAGTGGAAATGTATTAAAGGGTTCTCGGGACATGATCTGGCACTTGAATTTAGCATGAGCACTGCAGCTTCTGTGCTTAGAATTGACAATAGAGGGCAAAGAAAAGCTAGTCTAGAGGACTGTTAGCAGTAATTTAGGTGAACAGTCATGGTGGTTTGGAAGTGGAGGTGATGAGAAGTGGTCATATTCTAATGTTACTTGTGTTGATGGCATGATGAGAGAGAATCAGAATCAGAGGGTGGCACCTGAGTTTTTGTCTTGCACCTGTGAGATGGAGTTGCCATGTACTACATTGAGGAAGACAGCAGAAGATGATTGGGAGTTCTGTTTCTGTTAGTTTAATTTGGAGACATCTACTGGACCTCCTGATTGTGATCTCAAATGAGTATTTGGATATGCCAGTGTGGATTTCAAGATGGATATTTATCCTAGTGATATACATTTGAGAATATTTAGCATGTGGGCAATATAGAAAGCCAGAACGAAGACTGATGTCTGTAGGATAGATGAAGATGTAAAGAGGTCTACAATAGGAACTGTGACCACTCAGTTAAAATGTCAGGAAAAGGAGGAATACTGGCTGGAGAACCAGGGAAGTAGCCAAGGTGGCAGAAACCAAGTGGGAGAAATGGGATGTTTCAAGAAGGGATGCCGCTGCTAAGCCATGCAAGATGAGGGGTGAAAACTGGCCATTAGCTTTGACAAAGAATAGGACTTGACGTTCAGGTGAGAACAGCGTCCCTGGTGTGGTCTCAAGAACCTATGGGAGGAGAGGAATCACACACTGCAAATGTTTAGACTGTACAGAATGGCAGAGAAATGAGAGGCAGTAGCAGTTATGATGTCCAGAGATTTTGTTATTTAAGATGAAGGATATTTTGCATCTTTTTATATTATTGAAAATGAATCAATAGGGAAAAATGGAATAGAAGTATTTCTGGTAGAAAGGAATGGATTCAAAGACTAGCAAATGGTTGGACTTACACTGGAGCAGAGAATTCACTTTTTTTAAAAAAAAATTTATTTGGAAAGCAAAGTCAGAGAAGGAGAAAACAGGCAGAGAACAAGCAAGCAAGTGAACTCCAATCTGCTAGCCTACTCCTTAAATGGCTGCAATGGCTGGGACTGGTTTCTCACATCCATGGCAGGGACTCAGGTATTTGGACCATATTCCACTGCATTTCCCAGGCACAAAGCCTGATCAGAAGTGAAACATCTGGGACTCAAATCAGCATCCATATGGGATGCCAATGTTGGTTGCAGCTTAACACACTATGATACAACAGTAGTCCCAAGAATTCACTTTAAGGAGGAGAGGAGGAAGCCGGCCACAGATCTATGTGGAGGGAGATTTGAAAGATTTTTTTCTAATGAAATGAATTTTTCCTTTGTTAGGGTGAGCAGAGAATGAATTTGGAAGAGAAACAGCAAAACGTTGGCAGAATCAAGAAAGATTGAGGCTGTTGTTGAATTTCTTTGTGTAGGAGGCTTAGGTGGCATTCCACAGAGCAGGGCAAGTTCTCCTGCCCCATAGATGCTGATAGGCATTGTCAGAGAAGGGCCTAGATGCAGTGTTTGTCAGCCCTGGCTGCACAAGGTGATACCCTGAACGTTTAAATAAGATTCAGGTGCCAGAACTGTGTCCTGGAGAGTTGGAATAGGTTGAACTGAGGTGGTTCTTTGAAAATCCATTCAGTGGTGCCTGGCGTATTGGCCTAGCAGCTTAAGTCCTTGCCTTAACGTGCCAGGGTCCCATATGGGCGCTGGTTCTAATCCTGGCAGCTCCACTTCCCATCCAACTCTGCTTGTGGCCTGGGAAAGCAGTGGAGGACGGCCAAAAGCCTTGGGACCCTGCACCCTTGTGGGAGACCTGGAGGAGGTTCCTGGCTCCTGGATCTGGATTGGTGCAGTATTGGCCAATGCAGTCACTTGGGGAGTGAACCATCGGACAGGGGATCTTCCTCTCTGTTTCTCCTCCTCTCTGTAGATCGGACTTTGCAATAGAAATAAATAAATCTTTAAAAAAAACAAAGAAAATCCGTTCAGTGTTTTGTTTTATGTAGTCCTTCAGGCCATTTTATTGAGCAGCCAAGATTGAGACTCATTGGCTATCAACTTTTTACAATTTAAATCAATAGAGACATATGCTTTATTCTTGATGAAGATGGTATCTGGATAGTGGCATTACTCATGACATTTTTTAGAGGCAAGTATGTTCTAACACAATGTGATAAACACCTGCATGCATGATAATGTAAATTATATTACATAGAACTTTGAAGGCTTGTCGATTTGTTTTCATCAACATGTACTGTCTCCTAGTGCTTTCTTACACATTTTTTTTCTCATATTTCAGTATGGTTTCAACATGGTCATGTCTCATCCACATGCTGTCAATGAAATTGCACTAAGCTTAAATAACAAGAATCCCAGGTAAGCTTCCTTGGTAATGTACAGGTCTAAAGTTAATGGGGAAAACTGAGAGCCAGTCAGCACTTAGCCAGGTTAGATCTTGAGCGTCTTCAAGGGTAACTCAGGACTTGTCTGTGTAAAACTCTTCCTTTTAGCCAGTGACATTCTCACAACAGAATTGAGCAACTGGTGCTAATTCTAGGGTTTCACTGTTCATGTTTTCAATTCCCTGGTACCCAGATCCTTGCTGATAAATTTGATGGGAAGAATGAGATTGCTGGCAGAGTTTTGATACAAGATGTAGCTATACCAGTTAATGGTGAAAGCTAATAAAAATCATGAGCCATACTTCACTTCTTTTATATATGTAACTTTAGTTAGCAAATGAACCAGTAAGCACAAATAAGTGTGTACATCAATATCCTTTTACAGAAAGTGATTTTTTATAAATGCCAGCACTGTGAATTACATCCTAGATTCCCTTTGGAAGCCTATTTTCATGCATTTATTTTAGTTACTCTGTGTTTTCTGTTCTCATGAGGCATCAAATGTGTGATTCTTTTTCATCAGGTGCATCTATATATAGACTGACAGAATATCTGAACACTGTTAATTCAGCTCAAAAATCTGATGATAAACCAGGTCTTTTTTTTTATTTGTAGCACATTATAAATTATAGATTTCCATTTAGATACTGGAAATTATTTTCTCAGACTTCCCCTGATTGATCTTTTGTGACTTTGCAGTTCTTCCTTAGTTTATTGGAGACCAGAGCTTTCATGTGTCTATTTCTCTACTTTCTACTTTGGAGAAGTCATTACTCGTTTTTTCACTCATTTTTCTCCAGTTGACACTGTGTAAGAGGGGTCTTTGTTTAGAGGTTGGCAAGGCATTTTATTTCAGAATAAAATCAATTAATTAAATAAATAAACTAACGTGGTCTTAGGTTGAGGAAGCAATGATGTTTCTTTCTAAGATGTGGCAGTAGTTTTCCTTCCAAATAGACTTCAGAGGCATTTTATTTCTTGAGTGGAAGAAAACATTCTGATATTAATACAGCTGTAATTCAACTCCTTCCATATCTCCTGCACATGAAGAAGAAATGTCAGTTAGGCCTGTGGTATCATGGGGGATCTTTCTGGCTCCATCCACAAATAAGCAGATTGGAGATGGAGGTCATTAGTTCCAGTTAATTTTGAAGTTTTTCCACAAAAACTGTACTTCTGGTTGTAAAGCCAGCGAAAATATTTAACCAATGGCTCTTGTATGTTTTCCTGAGTTTCCTGTTGATTCTAGCTTGTTAGTAAACATTTTTCAGCTAGAGGACCCCGAGTCACGTAATGATAGCGCTGAGGAACTGTACTTCTCAGAGTTAATTTTCATTAGTCATGTCTGATGTGGAGGAGTGACAACCATGTGGCACATAGATCACATAGTGCAAAGGCTTGGTTGGAACTATGCCTTAATGCTGCACCTTTGTAAATAATTTAAACTACTCTGGCAAGTGTTTTAATACTCAGATATTCCTGTGGGAGGGAAGAAAAGCTGATTCATCCTGTCACTTTCACTGATGGGTGTTTTCTTTTGTCCTCTTGTTTTGACAGAACAAAAGCCCTCGTCTTAGAATTGTTGGCAGCTGTTTGTCTTGTCCGAGGGGGACATGAAATCATTTTATCAGCCTTTGATAACTTCAAGGAGGTAGGATGTGAACTGTGGTTTAGTAAGATGGCTCACACAAACATCTTGTGTCTGGGTGCCTTCAAACAAAGTGATTTACCTTTTCATTTATCCAAGTGTCTTAGAAATTTTCTGAAACATTCTTGGGAGGAAAGTGATGGACTTAATATACAGATATTAAATGGATGGACTAAGTGTTCTTTGAGTGTCTTATTTCCAAAATAAGATAAAGAATTGTTTCTGGTGGTCACTTTCCTTTGGAAAGCATGGCCTAGCCCCGTTTGAAAAAAAAAAGTTTTGTTCCATGTGTGGTTTTCATTTGGAATGATATTTGATTATCCAGTGTACAAGTTTTAAGTACTCTTTCATCATATTTACTTCTCTGAGGTCCTATTTATTCTCATGGCTATATTAGAGACTATTTTAAAAAACCTGTCAAATACAGAGTGATTTTTAGGAGTTTGTAATCATAGTGTTTAGTCCCATCACAGACAGACAAAAGACCATTGATATACATGCGTGACAACAAACTTCCAGCAAAAATGGAATCAAGTACATATAAATGATATGGTACCAGGCATATTACCCTAAAGCATCAAGGCATCTTGATAAAATCAAGACCAGCTTTTTAGGGGCAGAGACTGGTGTCGTGTAGCCAAGAAGAGTGCCATTTTCTAGCCCAAGCAGGTACCTAATAGCTAACATTGCTTTGATATGGGAAATTCCATAAGGAGTCCATGGAGGTGCCTTGTTGGAGCAGGATCTGCAACCAAATCTTGCATTATCCTGAGAGCGCCAAGTGCTTCTGGATTATACTTAAGTTGTCAGAGTTCTTTCATCTTTGCTGCTGTAGAACAGAGATAATATTTGTTGCTCACTTACAGAATGCCAGGGCTGTGTTAGAGACATACATGACATTTGGTTCTATAGTATGCACTTAGAGCCAACCCTCACTAGTTCCATTTGATAAGAGGATAAACATTGTTTGCTGTGGTCATCTGCCTGTGTGGGAGAGGTGGGATCATCAGAATTTGATGATCCTGATCCTGAACTTCATAAAAGTGTAATAAACTCTGGGCCCAGTGGTATGTACCATTCTTGAGGGAAAAAAGGAAGATGCTGAAATAATCAAGACTTCAGGAATATTACCTATTCCTGCATCTTTGATGGGATAGATGATCACAATTGCTGTGTAAGTGTGAAAGACACCCTGCGATGCTGTATTACAGGCATGGAAGATGCAAAATCATGCAAAGAATAAACATTCCTCTTGCCTCCCTGCCCCCAGTCAGTGCTTGAGGATCATGACATTATCTGTTTTGTTAATGCCAGCTGTAGAGAATTCACTATTGTCTTTTTTATCTATTCAGCCATAGTGACAGTGAACAAATGTCCAGTTTCTATGAGAATGGTGCCAAGTAACAGAGAATCTGACAATCATATTCTGGCTTCCAAAACAAATAGACCTTAGAAACAAGAATGTGTGAATGTTGTGTGAATGTTTTTCCATGTGATGTATAAATGTATAACTTTTGCGTTTATATCTACTGAGGTCTGTTTGGGTGGGTGGGGTTGGATATGGAGGAGAAGCAGATGTGCTGTTAGTGTAACTCCCGAGTCTCTATCATTAGTTCCTATTTGGAAATTCTCTAACACTATACAGTTATTACTGACTCTTGTTGCAATATGGATCATGCTATAACAAGCATCCACTGAAACTTCAGGTCACATTATATGCTCAAGGTACAATTTTTTAGAATCAGAATTAAAGCAAATAATAGATGGGTTTAATGTTGATTTTGTTTTCTCGGGTACGATATTATGTTTTTCACAGATAGTCTTGGCACACATACATACTTGTGGAATTTAGTTATAACTTTTGTAGCAGTGTTGTATATACTTTTGGTGTATGGTTCAGCATTTAGGGCATCAAATATGTTTAGTGGAAGAAGAAAAGTTGCCTGGGTTAATATGGTCACTGGACAATAGTACTGAGAGCTGAATGAATGTTGACTTTGGATTTCTAGGGTTTTAATCAAAACCCATCTTGTTTCTGTAGTTATTGATGACCAATGCCAGCTGTGTAGGTTTAGTTTCTTCTTGGTCCAGGTAGTTGTATCTGAGAAGAACTTTATTGTATAGGAGAAAGGTCAAGGGCAAAAGTAGTGCTGTGTGTCCTGTTGACTTGCATTCAACTTGAAGCTGTGATGTGCGTGTGGTCAGCCAGAGCATGGGGTTTACCTTCTGTCCAGCAGGCCCTGAGACCACCAAGAGGTGAGGTGACAGTCTTCTTCTGCAACAGAAACATTAGGGACACACCGGTGGTGAAGAATGTCCGTTTATTTTAGAGAAGTCACAAGCTTGTATAGGTTAGGGAAAGGCAGAAGGTGGTTCCAACAGTGCTTCCACTCAACAACAACATTATGACTGGCTAACAGATATATCTATCTCTCTGAACCCTCCAATGAAGTTAAAGGACAGGAAGCACAAGAAACAGGAGCCCTGTGTCTTAGGGCTGACTCATTACCTCCTGAAAAACAGGGTGAATGTAACATTTGACTTCCTAGAGTTGTTTACAAAGGAAGTCCTAGCACAGTTTGTTAAAGAGGCAGGAAAGAGAGACTGGGGTGCAGCCCATCGCTCTTGCTGCATGCCTAGCAAACAGGCCATGTTGGGATCTCAGCCAAGTACAAAGTGTGCCATGTGCCTATGGCCTCCCATATGGGCTAGGCAGGCGGAGATCCAGGGGCAATCTCCCACAAATACATCTTTTTTTTAAATAAAGTAATTTTATTTCATAAACAAATGCAATGGGTTAGAAAGAGCAATATCTTTGAAAAGTCCCCTATGCTCAGTGCTAGTTCACCTAAACCATCCTTTCAACTTCACCATGGAAACACGGTTGGTTACCTTATTGAACACTCCCATGGCCCTGTGCAGATTAAGCCCTGATTCAATTATAGAACCATCCATTTTGGTGAATAAACTATGCAAGTGTAATTCGCACCGAAAATGGTACTTCCATGTTATAAACTATTTTCTCTAAGTGTATCCCCCACCCCCCAGAACACCACTTTTTTAAAAAGTAGCATTTTTAAAAAAGTATTAAAACTTAGGATCAGCAACTTAACTTGGTACTCTTTGGGAAGAGATCTCTTGAAAATGAGAATTGGTTGTAGGGAGACTCCCCACCTGCTTCCAGCTACCATCTTAAATAGGAAGGTACATCTGTTTTTGCTGTTGAGACATCTCCTGGTAAAAATTTCTGGTCCTGAAATGAGGATGAGAACAAGGAGTCGTCTCTCTTTTTCTCCCTATTGGCTGATTTAACCATTTGGATGGAAATACAACTGTCTTCCTCCTTCAGTTGATTTCTTTTTTAGTTGTGCAGCAGTGTATTTTTTAGCATTGGGTCTACCAGGTCAAAAAAATAGATTTGAAGGAAAGAACACTCTTTCTGGTATTTGAATCAACTCCAAGCCATGTTCACAAGAAGCTGAAACTGCTTCAGATGTGTATAGAGGAGGAAAAATTGATTGAAAGGATGTCGAAAAAAAGCACACACTTACGGAAGCCTGGAGAGCTAGTCTTGGGAAATGGACAGGCAGTCCTAACTGTGGCTGATCTCTGCCTATGTCCTTGACACTGAGTCACCGTACACACTATTTGGAGTTCTGGTCATACTTTTTCTCCTCTTCCAAATGACATGGACTATCGGTAGTAATGCACTTGGTCCTGATAATGACACCTGTTTAAGGATGTCAGCCAGCCCCCACTTTAGATTTATTGACATGGTATTTCATCCAGTTTCCCATAAGTCATCAGTTTCTAGAGATCATCAACCTAATTGAGAAATTGCCTTATTTTGAAAAACTGTCTCCAAAAATCTTTTAAAAAGAAAAAAGGTTCCCATTTGAAATGAAGAAAGGAAAGTACTGTGGTCCCATACTCTTTGCAGAGGAATTTCCTACTGTGTCATTGGTGTAAACCCCTGTGAGGACCTGGAGCCACCGGCCCTTCCATGCTTCTGGGCTTCGGCCGGGCTCCAAACTGGTTCTCATCTTGCTTCTGTTAATGACAGCAACAGAATTAAGTGAAAAGGCCTTGATTTGGTTGCTAATGACCCAGCTCCCTCCTGAGTTTGACCTTGTTGAACAGACAGATGGAGACTTGTGAAATCACTCAGTCAAGGCCACCTGCTCTGTGTGTGCAGCTCTCTTGACAGTAGCTGTTTGCTAGAGGGCTTCGTAGAAAGCTAATGTGGTTTAGCCACTGGGCATCTGAAAGCACTTGTGCTGCATGTTATTAGGTTGATTTAAGAAAGTGTCAAACTGTATTTAGAGTAGACAAATTGGGCAGGAAGGAGAGCAGACATTTTGGTGTGCTTCCAGCGTCTGAGTCTGATCCCATTTTATCTAACTCTTGAAGATCTGAGGATGTAGAATTGTAAATCCAGTATATAGCCTTCTGGAAAACTCCATCTGTGGTAGAATTTTTAACATGGAGAGAAGATTATTTCTTTTGGTCTCTCAAAGTATTGAACTATGGGGAGTATAGTCCTACTGTGTGTATGCATTTTATTAAATCAGACCAGAAGCATAGTGACTACATTCACCAGGACTCTAATCTAGCCAGTCCATCTTCCTAGGGCTGGGAAGAAAAGTATAATCTTCTGTGGTATTAATTTTAAAACTCAAATTTTAAGGCTTGAGATGCAGAGAGAGAGCACCCCCATCTGCAGATTCGTTCCCAAATGCCTACAATAGCTGAGCTAGGAGGGCAACTAAAGCTGGGAGGTAGGAAATCAATCCATGTCTCATATGGGTGGCAACAACCCAGCAACTTCAATCATCACTGTTTCCTTCCAGGGTCTGCATTAGCAGGAGGTTAAAATTAACAGCTAAAATTGCATATTAAAACCAGGAACTCTGATATGAATGGCGGATGCCTTGACTGGGGTTTTAACCACCAGGCTCAATATTTGTCCTAAGCTATTAATTTTCCTTATCTGTTTATTAATG